GAATGAGATAATGATTCCAAACCACCAACCCAAATTGCCAGCAGTCGACCATCCGTTCTTTTTCAGGGAGGTGGTTCAACCGCTAGCCGAAATGATGGGTCTTTGATTCTACTCATGTGTTCTCGCATAATCTCGCATATATGCATATATATTTATATATATATACAGATATTATATACATATATATATATAATTCATAAGTGTATGATTGTTTTTTTCATTGTTTTTTTTGCAGTTGCCCACGTTGCCCACAGGGAATTTGCATATTAATATATGTGTCTATATATATATATATGCTTTGAACATGTTTACATCAGTCCTTGGCTCTTTGAATATCCTGGATATTTTTCATGTCATGGTTCTGAAGATGAGCAGTGTCACGAGGTGAATGGTCTCTTTGATTCTCAGTTCCTCGGGAAATCTGTGTCGTGGCCTGCTGTTCAAAAGCAGTGACCTTGATACGTAGAGGATGTCCGTGTAAATGCTTTGAACGGATTCCCTTGAGCATGAAACATGCTATCAAAAGACAAACAATGATAGATAATAATATCATGGTGGCAGCTATATGCGCACATTTACGCATCACCGACTTAGATGGGAACTGGAGCTCATTCCTCTGGCAATCAGTTGAGCTCCCTACATGGTGAGTAACTGAGTCGTTGAAACTTGTCAGGGAAATATCCAGCTTGATCTCCCCGCTAAGAAGAAGATCACCTTCCTGATAGACGACTTCTTGCGCAACGGCAATCCCATCTTCAGGTTGCTCTGTGATGCGCCCCTCACCTGGCAATATGATGTTCCTACGAGGTTTCAAGATGTTTCAACGGGAACCTTGAAAAAAATGAGACATCCTCTATATAAATGGAGGTTTCAATATGAAAATCATGAATGGAGTTTTTCATTGTGCATTTGTTGGGCAAGCTATGTTTGATTAACGACGCCACACAGGTGGAAGGCTTCTTCCATCTTCTTCCATGTCTCCAAACACTTCACCTTTTGGGTGTCGGATTAAACCTTTAACCACTATTTATTCACCAACAAAAATAGTTAAGCCCCAAGAACAACGGAAATGACATGGGTTATATATATATATATATATACATGTATGTATGGGTTTTTCCAAAAATAAAAAAGCACCCCTAAATCCTTTAGTTCTGCATGGAGTGTGCAGACAAAATCCTTGTGTTCATCATCGTGCTCTCCCTTTTGAACCTGAGTTTGGGGGTATGCCGCATTTTCAGAGACACCCATATACAATCATATACAATACAATCATACAATCATATACATACATATACATACATATACATACATATACATACATATACATACATATACATACATATACATACATATACATACATATACATACATATACATACATATACATACATATACATACATATACATACATATACAGACATATACATACATATACATACATATACATACATATACATACATATACATACATATACATACATATACATACATATACATACATATACATACATATACATACATATACATACATATACATACATATACATACATATACATACATATACATACATATACATACATATACATACATATACATACATATACATACATATACATACATATACATACATATACATACATACATACATACATATTATATAAATACAGTATAAATACAGTATAGAGAGAGAGAGAGAGAGAGATAGAGAGAGAGAGAGAGTCAGCCCTGGCAGCCCGGGTGAGTCGCTGGAGAAACCCAGAAACCAGGTATGAAGCCGAAACTCGGCAGGCGGGCCTCCGACATCCTCCAACCCGCCAAGCGCGGGGAAACTCAATGTGTAAAAGATGTGCAAAGCCCTTGAATTTATGAGACTCGACATTCTTTTTTGTTTTGACAAATATATGGCTGTTAACACCATAAAAAAATAAAGAGTAAAACGGATTAACATGGCAAAACATTGTGAATGGCGTTTATCAAATGATTGGAACCATATGAACCACAGAAAAACACAGAAGTCTTGCCGGGATTTGCCGGGATCCCTGGAGTCACCAAGGGATGGTCTTCATAAAAAAAAACGATTTGAAGGGAGCAAACGATGAAAAACCATGGAAAACCATTGGATTTACGGGCACTCTATTTTGAAACAAAACCAAATTCTCATCTTCAGATTCTTCAGCTGTGTTTCTTCAACTTTTGCAGGTGAATACATTCGACATGGTTTTGCAGTCAATTCCCAGTCACTGAACGACATTTTTCCGGAGGTTTATCATTAAAATCTCATTCGAATGCCTTGGTAGACATACGAGCACCATGCATGACATTTGTTCTCCCAAAACGGGTGCATGGTTTGTTTGATATCAAATGATGTCCATCCCATTGTCCATCCCATTCAGCTCCTGCTTTTTTCACCGATTCAAGCACATATAAAGACTATAATGTTTTTGTTTTTTTTCGTATTTTTGCAGGAAAATGGATGAAGACAAAGCCCAGGAAACC